TTTAAAGATTTTATTTATTTATTTGACAGAGAGAGACACAGCGAGAGAGGGAACACAAGCAAGGGGAGGGGGAGAGGGAGAAGCAGGCCTCCTGCGGAGCAGGGAGCCCGATGCGGGGCTCGATGCGGGGCTCGATGCGGGGCTCGATGCGGGGCTCGATCCCAGGACCCTGAGATCACGACTGAGCCGAAGGCAGGCGCTTAACGACTGAGCCACCCAGGCGCCCCGAAAAAGCAATCTTCTTAACCATGACTAAAAACAGTGCTTGCGTTTGGGATCCCTCTCCCTCCCCCTTCTTTCAGCACTCCATGCCACCGACATGTATCTTCAGCCTCTCACCACCTCCATGTTGGTTTTTTCCTCTCAAATTATGAGGAACCTATTTCCTAAGGAACTACTACCCTCTTCTCTCTCCTTCCAACCAGCCAGAGAAAAAGCACCTCATTATTTCTCTCCTTCCTTACTGATTCCCTCCTGAACCCAATGCTGTCAGGCTACTGCTTCAACTGAAACTGTTTTTTTTTTAAATTTATTATTTATTTATTTTTTATTTTTTATTTATTTATTATTTATAATTATTTATTATTTATTTATAATCTCTACCCCCAACATGGGGCTCAAGCTCACGACCCTAAAATCAAGAGTCGCATGCTCTTCCAACTGAGCCAGCCAGACACCCCCAACTGAAACTGTTTTAAGATTAACCAATCACCTTGCAGCTGCTTAACCCAATAAACATTTTTTTTTTTAGGTTTTATCTTACATGGCTTCTGAGATACATCTGATACGGCCAATGATTCCACTTCATTGTCTTCTGGTTCTGTTACTTCAATTATTACTATGTCTTAGTATTTTTCATTGATCTTATATTCAGCCCTAAAGTCAATGGTTCCCAAATTCAGTGATATCAGAAGCCCCTATATGTCTTGTTAAGACATAGATTGTTGAGCGCCTGGGTGGCTCAAGTTAAGCGTCTGCCTTCAGCTCAGGTCATGATCCCAGGGTCCTGGGATGGAGTCCCACATCGGGCTCCTTGCTCACGAGGGAGTCTGCTTCTCCCTCTACCCCTCCCCCCTGCTGTGACCTCTCTCTTTCTCTCTCTCAACACTCTCTCTCTCAAATAAATAAATTAAATCTTTAAAAAAAAAAAAAAAGACATAGATTGTTGGGTTTCAACCCCAGCATTTCTAACTCAGTAGGTCTGGAACAGGGTCCAAGACTATAAATTTCTAACAAGTTTCCAGGTAATGCTGAGGCGGCTGATTGAGGGGACTACTTTGAAGCCCTAAATTAATCTATTTCCCAGCTTTCTATCCTGAGCTCTTCTCTCCTCTACTTTTGTTCCCTGAATGAACTCATCCACATTCATAATTTCAACTATCACCTATATAGGACTACCAGATTTAGCAAATAAAAATATAAAAGCCTGGTTAAATATGAATTTCAGATAAACAACAAATACTTTTTTAGTATAAGTATGTCCCAAGTATTGCATATAACATACTTATATTAAAAAATAATCACTGTTAGGGGCGCCTGGGTGGCTCAGTCGTTAAGCGTCTGCCTTCAGCTCAGGTCGTGATCCCAGGGTCCTGGGACCGAGCCCTGCATCGGGCTCCCTGCTCCGCGGGAAGCCTGCTTCTCCCTTTCCCACTCCCCCTGCTTGTGTTCTCTCTCTCCCTGTCTCTCTCTCTGTCAAATAAAAATATAAAATCTTAAAAATAAATAAATAAATAAATAAATAAATAAATAAATAAATAAATAAATAAATAATCACTGCTGGGGTGCCTGGGTGGTGCAGTCGGTTAAGCCTCTGACTCTCAGTTTCTGCTCAGGTCGTGATCTTGGGGTTGCGAGATCAAGCCCCGTGTTGGGCTCTTCACTCAGTGCGGAGTCCGCTTGGGACTCTCTCTCCCTCTGCTCCTCCTCCAAGCTCCCATTGTTTCTCTTTCTCTCTCAAATAAATAAATAAATAAATCTTAAAAAAAAAAATCACTGTTGGGGCGCCTGGGTGGCTCAGTCCTTAAGCGTCTGCCAGGGTCCTGGGATCGAGCCCCGAGTCAGGCTCTCTGCTTGGCAGGGAGCCTGCCTCTCCCTCTCCCACTCCCCCTGCTTGTGTTCCCTCTCTTGCTGTCTCTCTCTCTCTCTGTCAAATAAATAAATAAAATCTTTTAAAAAAAAAATCACTGTTAATAGTCAAAT